AATATTTATTTATGATCCATTCTTTTCTCTGAAAAGTTGAGATTTATGGAATGAACATTTTTTTTGTTTTCCTTTTACCTACACTTTACCTACACTTTGTTCCTTGACATCATTTGGATCAAGACATTATTAGCTACTTATAAACTCAGTACAGGTAGTCCTTGTTTAGCAACAATTCACAAGTATGACGATTATCAAACAGTAACTTTAGGACCAAATCTGACATTTCTTCACAAATCTGTAAAACAAAGGAAACCTGAAGTAAGATCATAAATACAGTTGTGGTTTAACCTAATGATTACTTCACTTAATGACTGGGTTGCCAGTCCTAATTGTGGTAGCTAAACAAGGACTACCTGTACATTTTAACCATATTCAACTATAACATCCAACTGCATTGGGATGTGAGGCATAGTTTAGCTGTGACCACAATTATCAGATATTTCTGATAAAATGATAGAATAATACTCATGTCACTATATGGTTGGTAGCCACAAATGACTGGCTGTTGCCAGCAAATGTTTTCCCCTTTAATGTTTATTTTTGGTTTTCTGTATCTTTTCTAATCTCTAATTCTCTAAGTAGGAATAGTTAAGGAAAATAACATTTTTTTAAAGTGATAAGAGATTGATTCTTTATCATATTTCTGACATCTCCCACCTCCCTACTGCATGATATTTCCACATGTATATTTCAAGTCTGAAAGCTGTAAAAAACTTCCTACAGAGATGTTTCAAGAGATATGATGAAACTCCTCACCAAGAAGATGATACTTAAGGTTTCTGTGTAGGCTTTTGAGGTAGTATCTTCCACAAGGGTGGAAATTATTTTGTCATCTGTGCCAAAGAATCAATCCTCCCACTGTTAGAAAAATATTCCCTCATTCACTGAAGTCATTTGCTCAAAAACAAACTATTTACCCTCCTGAGTAAAATGCTCCTCTCCTTGCATCTATTGAAACCATTGCATTTGAAGAGTTGTAGAAGTATGTTCTGTCTGCAGTTACTGAAGCGAGATGCTCAAATCAATCATTAGTAGACAAATGGAAGTAAATAGTAATGTATATTACCCCAATTTAGTGCCCTCCAGATAGTTCATCTCCTGTAACACTCAGTTAACATAGTTTGAACCTCAAATACTTTGGCTGTGTCCTAGTCAAAGGATCATGAAAACTGAAATTCAACAAATGTGAATGACATTTTGGTTAGGAAAGGCTTTGTTAAAGGATCTGTCCTTCATTTTTAGAATTGACATTATTGAGTCCAGCTTCATGAAAATCAGGAAGAAAAGTGATGGATCAGATCTTGATGATCCTGATACTCAAAATGATGGAGAATATAAAGGTCATATCTATTAATCCCATCTTGATTCTAACCATCTCAACCAAATACCATGGTGACAAACTAGACAGCTGGTTATTTATTGAGTTATATATTTCAAACACTTAATATAGGTATAAAAACACCATTTTCTGCAGGTAAGGTTTTAGCATTCAAGGGTTGTGTGAAATTTCCATTTATATTTATCTTAAAGGAATTATTCTGGCAATACCTGTCTGTTTAAATGACTCCACAGTTATCATTGTTTTAAAAGCTTGGAACTGTTGCTTTTTTTAATTTAAAGCTTTAATGAAGTTACAAAACACCTAATTAGAATCAGAAAGTTATCATCTCTGTTTTGTCTCTCCCATTGTTATCTGTCTTAATTTCAACAATGAATCTTTCTTGAGGAACAGGGATGATAGCATATTATTTATTTTCTTAGCCCAGCTAGAGATGATTTGCTTCAGTTTATTTATCTACTTTCTCTGTTAGCTCCTTTTCAAGTATATCAAATCAGTCATCTGATCTCTGGATTACTACATGGATCATCAGTTGTTGAGGAATGCATTATCTCTGGGGGACTTCTGTGAAAATAAGCATCATAGTTCCCCCCCCCTTTTTTTTTAAAGCTGTGTTTTACCCTGCTGCAGATAGTAATTTATAATAGCAGATACTATAATATGACATATTTTCACCTTAGTGGCAGTATCAGAACAAGAGGCATAATCTTAAGAGTATCACTGCCAAGACAAGTTTCTGCCCCATGGAAATTACCATTGTCCAGCAGAAGAGATGTGGGTGCAGAGTGATAAGACAATACAGACAGGCGAACAAAGGGATACTGAACAACTACTAGATATTAAGCATTTTTTTAAAAAAGCCAGTGAAAGAGCAAATTGAAGTATGAACTAATTTTATCCACATACTAACTATTGAATCAACATCTTCATAATGATCACCTGATTTTTGCACTTTCTTTAGCTCTGCCGCCAGGTTTCAGATTATCAAGCCTTCAATTTCTTAAGTTTCTACAGTGTGTTTCTAGAAGCAGGACATTTTCAAGCTCTATTTCATGTTTTCTGAATTATGCTGATAATCAGAGCGCTATAGTTAAGAGCAAGGATAATGCCAACATTTGCAGAGAATGGGGATGCATCAAGAGTTGTTTCATGCTAGCCGGTAGGATTTAACAACTATAATGTCATGTCATCTTCCTCCACAAAAGTAGAATGTAATAATGTGTTTTTCATCCACATCATTTGTCTGATGCTCTGTTTAAAAAAGTGGGGGGGAGACGATGTGTTGAAAGGGAGCTATATGGATGGGTAGGGTTAAGTTGGGGAAATCAAAGGGGTGGATATAAATAAATGCTCTTGAGATGTAACAGCAGTTGCATAATTGTGGTATAGCAGTAGCCTACAAGCAGGAACTCTTCAGAGGAATGTAATCATGATGTTATGAGAAATCAACATTCAGGGCTCTCTCATAAAGTCTTTATGTGGTGACATAGTACTTACTTTGTAAACAAGTAAGAAGGCTAAAAAAAGACTACCTGTATACACACACACACACACACACACACACACACACACACATACACACACACAAACCCAAAACAAAAATAGGTGGTTGTTTCATGAGAATAGATTAAACCTCTGGGGAAGGGTGGAGAGAGAAAGATCCTTGATTACACCAATTGTGTCAGTTCTGATCTACAAGTAAGCGTGGATTGGATTGTCCTGTAAACCTGCAACCTAGGTACACTTACTTGTGCATTTGTTTTCTCTTTTCCTGTCTTTTTCCAATTCCTTTCTTACAAGTGTGCTGAGCAAGTAGAATATATTAAGAAAATATGCCATATTGATGCTCATGCCATCATAAAGTGACAATTCAGTGGACTCCTTAAGTGAGAGATGTTGTTCTGTAGTTTCACAATTGCTTGCAAGTTTAAACTGATGTACTTGTAAAGGGAAAGATGTTCGTGAATCAAACTCACTATCTAGAGATCACATGGGAACAAATGTGCAGTTTTCTTGGTCCCAGTCCTGGCCTTCTTTTCAGATACTTCTAAAATTTCCCCTCTTGTCTACAACCCTGCTATTTCTTTGTCTGTACTAATTAAAATCTGAAGTTGCTTAGCCTCCCAAGTCAAATAAAATTGGCCAGGTGCTACCCTTTGCTGAGAATGTCCCATAAAGTAGCCTAAAAATGACCCACCAAGCAACCAAGGTGTAACATCTTAGATTCATATTATCCACCTTATGAGATAAGGATGCTTCTTGAAGTCAATCAGAAGTACTTTATCTTCTCTATCTATCAAGCTGCTTTTTAAAGACTTTTATTATAGTAGCCATTGGCCTTGTAAAGTTTGGGATATTTTTTTTTAAATGGTTGTTAGCACATTGTTATGTGAACTGAAGTAATGTCTGACCCACATAAAATAATTATGTACAAAACGGGGTATTTAGTTTGCAGAGAAACCCATCTATCAAAGAATGTTGCTTTTAGAATGTTGATACTGAAATAAATTGTGGGAATTGATTTGTGTTCTGTCATAATAATTATGTTCGATTGGGAGCTGCCTAGAGGTGGCTGAAAGATGGGCAGTTATATAAATGTTTCTAAATAAATAAATAACATTCAGATGTAATGCTATGGGGAAAGCAGTGGCTGCTTTATCCATAAGCTAGATAAAAATTTAACATGCATATTTGAGATGCTACTCTACTTATCCAAAAGGAAGATAATCTTGAAGATGGTTCCCCAAAGGAAGAATAAACAGGAAAACAGTTATTATCACAGCAAAAAAAAAAAAAAATCCCATGTAATGCCCTGCTTTCCCATATCAACAAATGATGATTGCCAAAAGCTGAAACTAGAAGGATCTGCAAGGGGTTTGGTAGTGGAAAGATGATGAAAGTAATGTCCTGTAATGGTACAAAAGCTCTGCCCTTTTTGTGCATGCGCACCTATGAAAGGAGCAGGACTTTTATTGCCTAATGCTGCCGCATTTCATTTTGATTAATGTATCTGATATTGCAGATGCCTCTGGCCAAAACTAATCCTGAAGATTCTGCCCCCCACCCCCACCCCCCGCAATCTTGTCCAATATATGTGTACATATGACTCACATGTTTATGTGGGTGTGTGAATAAATGGATATATAGATCTAGCAGAAACCACACACATCAGAAAGGGCTAGGCCAGGTCAGAAATATAAATGCATATTAATTTAATTAATAAATATCAATTAAAAATATTTGCTTGTAAAAGGAAGTACTCTATTTTCCATATTAACTGATCCCCATCTGCACATACCAACCATTCTCTTTCATAAACTAAAAAAACTTTCCTTCCTTCTAGCAGGGATAACAAAAAAGAAGGGAAAGAATTGTCTAGACATTATGTAAAGAGTTAAATTCTGGGCAAACAACCCCTCCCAAGCAGTAGCCACCTTCAAAGGCATGTAGGCTTTTTAGCTGATTGCAATCAGGTTGTACCCCCTGTCCAATTTTCCTTGACCTTACCAGCCAGTGTAAGGCAACATCATTCCTACTTATTCACAGATAATTTTGGAGAGAGAGCAAAATATCCTTTTAACATGGCAATGTTTATGTTACGGCAGCAGCTGAATGAAGAAAATTCTTATAGTCTTCTTTACCTATTAATAATCCACAGGTCCAAAGTCTGGAACAGCACAACCAAGTTCTGGTTACAAGATGGAACTTTTTGAAAGAACAAGACAATTCCCTTTCTGATTTAGACATCAAACTCCTCTATGACCGGTACATGAACAAACTGAATCTCGAAATGCGATCTATTGATGCGGAAAAAGAACAGCTGGACTCAGAACTTGATGAAGTGCATTCTTCTATGGATTCTTTCAGAAGCAAGTGAGTCTCTTCTCTCTTTTTCTTTTCGTCCTTCACAGGTTTGGTGAGCATACCTATAAAATCTTTCCATTTTTCTACGCACTTTAATAATTGCATTCCTACATACTTTATAAACAAAATTATGCCAGAAGGCCTCTGTGGTGAAGGTTTTGTTATCATGCAATGCAAAGTTACTAGTGATCTTGAAATAGTATTTTTTTTCCCCTGGTGGACTTTTTGTGGCCATAGCCATCATATAACCCTCTCCAATTATGTCTTTTTCTTTACTCCTGAAAAAAATGAAGTTGATTGCTCAACCAAGGGGGTCAGAAGAAGCTTTGCTTCTAATCCAGCATTGTTAGTGCTATGAGTATCAGAGTGAGCTTTCCCCTAATGCCAAAATGGACTTCCTTGATTTCTCATTCATTAGACCTGTGAACAGATTCTAAGAAAAGATCAAGTTACACACAGTCACATTATGGGGCCTGTATGAAAGGTTATTCCCTTTTGAGACACAGACCAACCCCATAATTTTAGAGTTTGGTTGATGAATAATGTTTTTAACCTCATAGTGGTTTGATGGATAAGTAGATATTGTACACTGGTTGAAAAGCCAATGCATGAAGTTCAATCAAAAAGAAAAGAAATGTGAGAAGCAAGGAGATAAACGTGTAATTATGTATAAATTTAATATGCCCTTCTCCAGTGTCTCACTTCTCAACCTTTCTTTCCTACATTCTTCTAATGACAACCTCCTACTTAAGTTCAGGATTATAGCATGGTTATTCCCCCCCCCCCATCGTTCTTTTTTCTATTACCAAATCCAAACCTAAAAATGTTTTAAGAAGTACTACTTTACTGAATGATCTCCCTTATTTTTTTTCTTTTGTATTCCTATATAACAAGGATTCCCAAACAGGGGTGCTCATATCCCCTGGGGGTGTGAGATGATATTCCAGGGGGTGTGGAAACTTGTGTATATGCATAATTTGTTGCTGTCATTTCGAACTTTTGTAAGGGGTACAAGAATATATCAGAAGCGTTCTAGAGGTGTGGGGCATAGAAAAGGTTGGGAACCACTGCTATATAAGCTGCAAGCAATGCCTCTCTTCAACTTTCTCTGTTTAATATTTTTATTACACATAGCATTTATGTCTGTTTTATAAATAATAGTAATGTGCATAACCATAAATAGCCTCTTTAAAAAGATACACGAATGCAGTTTGCAGCCATATGAATCATTAGCCTAATTCACCAAAAAGTGTTCTCAAGATGAACCTGGATAAAAAGATTGCCAGAAAGATTAGTGGATAAAATTGAGGATAGAAAGCAGAAGGGTATATTTTGTCTAAAAAAAAAACAACCAAAAACAAAATAAAGCTAATTTGATGATCAAGATTATTTATTCAGTGTTAATTTAACAAATATTGAATGTAATTTTATTATAAAGCTGAAACTAGAATAGGTTAATTCTTAGCCCAACATTTTACATTCAGATTTATTTTCTTTTTTTAATAGCAGAAATATATCCAGTTTACCACGGACCATATTCTTCACATTAGCTGTTCCCCTGGATTAAAAATTAAAATATTTACCTAGTACAGACACAACTATGATGCCCAATTAATATCTATGGGTTTTAGGAGGGGATTAACATCATTTTACATTTCAAAATGTACATTCCTTTGTTTTGACTTGGCTTGATTTGACTTGAGTTGCTTAAGAATAGTGTATTTTTTCCTAGCATTTACTTAGATCAGATTCCCATCTTATTTTGTTTGAGAAAATAAGTATTCCTTAAAGTTAGCCTTTAAGATAACTGCAGTTCTTCAGGTGATTTTGTAGGTATTCTACCCTTCATGCTGTCATTTTTATCAAAAGAAAGTATGAGGAAAATTTAGGAAAGTTACCAATGGAAGCATCTGAGAATTAAGTACAGTAAGAGATTTCATAATGAACACCTTGAAAAGGGACATGCAATTGTCCAGCCCCCACCTTTTTCCCAACCCAGTTTTTGTGGCTGATTTGGTTAAGGAATGGATGATGGTTAAGGAATGATTCCCTACCCTAAGTCTCAGAAGCCATTTGAAAGCAGTCTGGCATTGGAGACTTCAAAAGGTTTATTTCTTCCGTTCTTCTTTTTCTTCCCTTTTATGTTCCTTCACGTCTTACCCCATGGTCTCTTATAATGGCACTGCACGCTTCAACACTGGATGCAACTAGTTGGCCATATTTGAAAGGGCTGCTCTGTCAACCAGTGGAAAAATATAATGGTATACATTGCATTGGTCTTATTGATGGTCTTTATGCTGCCTTGGTCACGAGGCTGGGGAGTGGGACTGCCTTTGCTGTTTAATGTGGGATGGGTAAAGGAAAGTGATAGCAATCCACCAATATTTCCCCTCCCACAGAGTGTCACCTACTAGTGGGAGAAACAAGAATCAACTGTTCTTAATGTGGGATGAGATGGGGATGGGCAAGAGTAGGTAGATATTTATAGTGACTGGTTTAGCAGTCTGTCAAGATGGCCATCAAATAGGTTGCAGGAGAAGGGAGGGGAGGAGAGGAGGGGAGGGGAGGAGAGGAGATTCTATGATATTTTGTGCAAGTCATTTCTCTGAAAAGAAAAATACTTAAAACCTATACATATTTTTACTTTCTAACAAAAGTGCCATCTGGAAAATTCCCATAATTTTGACCCAGTATTTTATTATGAGGAACCTGCCTAAGAGCAATGTGCCAAACTACAATCTGAGATCTCTGGATAGATATCTTCTAATGTTTTTAGCCACCAGACAAGTTAATAGGCTTTCATATTACACTGTTGGGTGTAATAGGCTTTTATATTACACTGTTGGGTGGGGGACAAACTGCAGGCAAAAAAAGCCAGCAGGGACAGCATGTTTATCTGTGAAACGTCTTTGTTTCATTATGTTGCTGCTGTTGTTTTTTTAAAAAATAAAAATAAAAATCTAGAAGATAGTTAAATGTTTCCTTGTTAATGCTAGACATTTTGCAGCTGGTTCTTAGGCTTGCTTTGATTCGATTTGAATAACAGAATTTTACAGTAGGATAAGAAGTATCAAGTTAAGACTAACCATTCTTCTATATGTATTAACTATTTTCTTCCTGTGTTAGGATTACCTATTAATGGTTACAGCTCAGTTATCCTGAATAATTTTGCTTTTGCATTTATCATATCCATTAGATTTGTTTATTTTGAAGCACATTAAAGGTTGCTCTTTCTTTTTTATAAAGGACACAGAGCCAGCCTTGAAGAAAAATCAGTGTACATGAGATGCAATTCTGTGCATCTCATGTTGTCATGTCACACGTTACCATATTTCCCTCCCCAATTGCCTATCCTTCTGCTACCAATATTGGGACTTGGGAGGGAACCTTCTATTTCCATTAAGTCTTTGATTCCAGACTCCTCTGAAACCAGTTTTGTTCAGAAACTCGTAGCAGATTGGCACACTTTGTTTGGAGAGCTCAGGTATCTGTAATATCCTCTCTCTAGGTGGGCTGGGTCAGTAAGAAGTATCAGTTCATTTGCAAAGAAGAGGGAAAGAGGAATCTGGCGGGCTATATTGATGAGGCAGGTTGTAATTAAGCCTAACAGCCTGGCTACAAATCAAACATTCCAGCCAAAGGGCAGAAAAACCAGAAGAACCAACCTTTCTGCCATTATCCTTTTAATGGGACTTATGAAATAGGTAGCTCCCAGGGTGGGGAGAAGGTTCTGTCACCACCTGTTTTGTCTTTGGAAGAACGGCCTATTCCTGAAGCCTCTGGGTGTTTCTGTTGCTGATTCCTTTTCATTTATAGCTGCTGCAAACATGTCATCTTTGCTGCTGGCTCAGGGTCTTCAGGGTTTAGCTTGGGAATCCAACTTCTGAGGCTGGGACTTGGCACACTGAGAACCTGCCTTTGTATACACTCAGGCCTCAAGATAGGAGGACCTACAATAACTGATAGCATAAAGCAGGGGTATTCAAATTCGGCCCTTTTATGACTGGTGGACTTCAACTCCCAGAATTCCTCAGCCAGCATGCCTGGCTGAGGAATTCTGGGAGTTGAAATCCACAAGTCATAAAAGGGCCAAGTTTGAAGACCCCTGGCATAAAGTTTCTGTACATCTGGTACAAATAATGGGAGCCTCATTTTGACTAAGCAGCTAGGTAGTATTTTGTGTTTTTTAATGCACATATCTGGGACTCCTGGTAGCAAAGTGTTTAGAATGCAGTATTGCAGACTAACACTGCCCACAGCCTGGAGTTCAACCCTGATGGGGCTCAAGGTTGACTCAGCCTTCCATCCTTCCGAGGTTGGGAAAATGAGGACCAAGATCATTGGGGGCAATATGCTGACTCTGTAAACTTCTCAGAGACGGTTGTAAATCATCTAAGTCTAAATGCTATTGCTATTGTTAGTATTTTACACTCATTGCATTTCTAGATCTGTCCATCCCTAGTTCAATTTCCTATTTCAGATCTGAAACCAGGTAAGGCTATCTGTGACTCCAACCTTATTCAGACGTTGCCGTTCATTGTGAATAAGTAATAGTGCAGAGATATGTAGATGTAGAAGCTTGGCAGCTCAGCTCCCCACTCTATAAATCAATGCAAACATTTTTAAAATGCCATTTTTAAAAGATCATAATGTTAGAAAAATAATCTGCCTCATGTAGTAAAACTGGGTTTTCCAGCTAATAGGGAACAGAAGAAAAATGGTCTTAAGTATCCATAAAAAGTGAATGAACACAGTATGACGACAGCTATATATTAAATGTATATTCTGCCCAATTCCTAGTAACTCTAGGTGGTTGTGGACTATAACCAGTGTGTAAGCATTAAAGGAAGATTCACGGTAGATAAACATATGCTTTGAAGGTAGAGCTTCCAGATTCAGTCCCAGGGAACTCCAGGTAGAACTGGAAGAGATGTTTTACCTGAAAGAATAGACATGGGACTTCCGGTTTGCATTGCAGTGAAATGGGACGCAGGAAGGCAGGGCTCTGC